TCGAACAGTGCGGCATGTCGCCTAATGTATTATGTGCTTGATTATAGTGAACACTTCACTATAACAAACCCAATGTATTATGTGCTTGATTATAGTGAACACTTCACTATAACAAAACCTAATGTATTATGTGCTTCATTATAGTGAACACTTCACTATAACAAACCCAATGCATTATGTGCTTCATTATAGTGAACACTTCACTATAACAAACCTACTAGTAATGTATTATGTGCTTCATTATAGTGAACAATTCACTATAACAAACCCAATGTATTATGTGCTTCATTTTTGTAAACATTCACTATAACAAACCCAATGTATTATGTGCTTCATTTTTGTAAACACTTCACTATAACAAACGCAATGTATTATGTGCTTCGTTATAGTGAACACTTCACTATAACAAACCCAATGTATTATGTGCTTGATTATCGTGAACACTTCACTATAACAAACCCCAATGCATTATGTGCTTGATTATAGTGAACACTTCACTATAACAAACCTAATGTATTATGTACTTCATTTTTGTAAACACTTCACTATAACAAACGCAATGTATTATGTGCTTCATTATAGTGAACACTTCACTATAACAAACCCAATGTATTATGTGCTTGATTATAGTGAACACTTCACTATAACAAACCTAATGTATTAAGTGCTTCATTATAGTGAACACTTCACTATAACAAACCCCAAGTGTATTATGTGATTCATTATAGTGAACACTTCACTATAACAAACCCCAATGTATTATTTGCTTCATTATAGTGAACACTTCACTATAACAAACCCCAATGTATTATGTGCTTCATTTTTGTAAACATTTCACTATAACAAACGCAATGTATTATGTGCTTCATTATAGTGAACACTTCACTATAACAAACCCAATGCATTATGTGCTTCATTATAGTGAACACTTCACTATAACAAACCCAATGTATTATGTGCTTCATTATAGTGAACACACTAAAACAAACTATTTTATACATGTTTCCCCTAAAGAGTTTTTTATCATGAGGTTATCGTGTATTCATTCATACATTCAAGGAAATGATCTATCTAGACAAGTGGTCCTAGTATGGAAGTTGAGAAAGTTTTTTCTTACCTATACATTAGACATAATATTTGTATAGAAAATAATTATGGTAGATTATATTGTTACAACAAAAAAACATATGTTAGACCTTGGGAATGCCTAAATGTCATTACTATAGGCAATTGGTCTTTATCTAGAGGTAATCACTGACGTAGGTTTGTCTGTGCAGCAATTTTTACCTAAAAGTACATGCTTGGTATTTTCTACAGAATAAATGATTGTCATATTCTCATGAATTTTTTACCTAGAACCTATTCAATAGAATTAACAATTTCATATTAGAAGCTGTATTCAATATGCACTTACAGCTAGACAAACATTCAGAATTTCCTTCATTTGGCATAAACAACTTTTACATCACCTATATATCACCTATTTTACACTCTAGATTATTTACATAACATCATATTGGATGTGGCACAACTAAAGTGCATGATTGTGGCACGACTAAAGTACAATGTAAGGCAAGAATCTCCAAAAAACCTTTTTCGCTATATTTTAGGCTGTATCTTTCTCTAAATTATTACTACAAGAAAGACAAAAATGTATAATAATAAAGTTATCATGAGAAGACTGCAAAGTAAGCCCTCAGGCAGTGCAGGATTGCATTGACCTCTGTTACATGCTTGGTGGATACGATCCCCCATTGCCGTAGTGTATGCTTTGCAGTATTATCATGTAATAACTTTATATGATATCAAGTATTTATACATGGACTGTTGAATTCTGAAATGTCAAATGCATTCTTTCAGAACACTTATCCAATGAGAAGTTGGTGCGTCATGGTTTGGCCGATGTTAGTGAGAATCCTTCACTGTTAACAGATAATGGGATGAAAGCTGCAGCCATGTCTTCACACTAGTCAGAGTGTTATCAGCTTATAACTGTCCTCATCTGCATAAACCATCTACCTGGATAGATAACGGTAATTAGGAATATCAAATATCGCTGTAAATTTGCATATTACTGTATTGGCTCAAAATGATAGATGTGTGTCTGTGGTTATTGTACTTTAATGATCCAGCATATAAGACATGCATTTGTTCGTACATCTATATGTGCATTTCTATTGGAAATGTGCTCTTAATGAAGAAATTATGATTTTTTATTGTTAATATAAATACTGAAATTTTGGTTTTGATTTATCACCATCCCGATTCCCGACTTAAATGGAACAATAAGCAATTTTCACTGTTTTCGTGGAAGAAAATGTATGTCGCTTGTGGTGTTGCAAACTACATCATAATATGCTACTAAAAACAATGCAAATAATATCAAATCTGACCAGCCACATGTTATTGTTTGTTTGGTCCCTGCTGACTTAAACGTTAAAGCGCTACAGTCATCGTGCAGCACATATTCGAATTTCATGTGAGCAAACTGTATTTCACATGCATTACATACGGTGTTACAAACAAAAATCAGCGGCTGGTCAAGTTTGATATTTGGCTCGTCTGAAAATTATTTGTTACCATCAAGGCAAGCAAGCAGTTACTTGTTTATGGTCTTTGGTGCCTTTTACTCAGAAGTATATATGTATAAATACATTTTTATTTTCAGTGTATCTTAATTGGGCCCATTTAGCAAGAGTACATCTACGTAGATGCCATGCAATCAAACTGGACAGCTTTTGTTCATTTATTGATCAGTTAGACGACATCAGGGATCTTGTTTTGGAGCATATGTTTAGAGAACCTCCCAAAGGGTGTGCCAGAGTAGGACTGAGTGCTGGCACTGGTATCGGTGTGTCATCAGCTTTGGTGACTAATAACAGTGGCAACAATGATAACGGTGAGTATAGTAATTCAAGAATTATAATTAATATTTGATTTTGTTTATGATGAGAGGTTTATGTAAATGAGTTGCAACTGATGTGATAT